TGGGCTTCTTTATTTGTTGACTAATAAATAATGGTTCTCACTACCTTTATGGAAAATTAAATAGAGAGAGGACCCTGCGAGCATAGAAAAAGTGTTTTATTGTTTTTTGCCACATTACCTCTATATCATAAAGCAAATATGAAGAAGCCTAAGCTTTGTATTACACTGATAAAACACTTTGTTTTCTACATTTCTTGAGAACACTCAAGAAATGTAGAAAACACTTGCTTCGGCCCGTGTTTCTACATTTCCCTAGTGTTCTCAAATGCCGTAGTGTTTTATCACAGTGTAATACATGGCTTAGGCTTCTTTATTCGTTAATGAATAAATATCTCTTACTATACTCTAAGACCTGATTCATACGTTGAACTTCCACCATCATGATGAATTCAATTCAATTAAGTGCAGCAGAAATGCGACTGTTGATTCATATGTCGCACTTATGTTGCATTTAATTAATGTTGTTGGGTCTGCTGGTCAGTGGGAAATATTTTCAACATATAGAGTTTTCAATATTGCAGACGAAGATACTCGGCAACGAAGGACTTAAATTTTGCAAAAAATTGTCTGCCAATGGAAGGAGAAGTAGAAGGCTGACAATGCAGCAGTATGTCTTGCAATATGTTCAGGTTAAAACTCTGGCTAAAACTCCAACTTGTCCTAATTGTAAAGAAGTTGTCTGAGCAGATTGCGTCTACAATCATGGAGAAAAGTGTTGACACATTTGAGCAAAACAAACGCTTTCTATCTGCGTCCTTCCGTAATTTCAAAAAACTTTTTTGTTGATAGCCAAACCCCCCTCGCCCCCTTTTCAATGTTGAATTACGCTCCGTGGACACTGTCACGTGGTTACAACATTGAAAAGGGGAGAGGGGGTTGAAATGTGAAAATTGGAGATTGAAAAACTCACGCATTCAACCAAACAGGTCTTTTTCAGGGAGTGTCTCAACTGCTTTTGTCCATGATTGTAGCATATCAGCAATGTGATTGTTGAGCCACTGTGCTTTCCTGCCAGGTAGCACTGGGAGGAGAATGGCTAAGTTTCTTTTTCTTTGGCGGGACCAAATTCACATATGCTCAATACATTAACATAATGTATGTATTACATTCGACACATCAGAAATTCAACGTTTGAATCAGTGTCGCATTTCTTTCGGATAATGCGACAAGACCAGTCGAATGTGCCCCCTTCTTTTTTACAGTAAGAAATAAATAATATCAACAAAAAGTAGCATAATAAAACAACTATGCAACTCTTCATGAGTGAATTATTTCCCTTGATGGGAAACTCCAGATTGTTGGGTGTCAAGTGCAAATGAACAGGTTTGACTTTTTCTTCAGGTTATTAATTAGTAATTAGACCAAGTGGAGTACAAATTAGGGAGTAATAATTTTTGGCCAAGTAATTTCAAAAGCAGATGAGTGTGCAACATGAGGCCAATTTTGAATTATGAGCAATTGTATCAATAACAAATTTTGAAATAAAAAAAAAGTAACTGCAATGATTTGTGAAAACAATATGTTGGCGCGCTGTCTGGAAGGTTTCTGAAGAAATATTCATTACAAGTTTTGGCTATCTGAAATTGAAGTTTGAGTTTCAAAAACAGTTAAAGAATGACTTTCCTGGAAAATGTTTTGGCTAAACTACAGAATACAGGGCCTCTTTTAATCATCCGCCAAATGAGCTGGCTCTGCTCGTTTGGCTTGTTTTCTCCCTTGTCATCCACTGCCGAGCCAAACAAGCCAGGAAATAAAATATATACAATCATGTAGACCTAGGACTTAATTCGTATATAGATCATTCCTTATTCTTTCATCCTCTGCCAAGCCAAATGAGCCAAACAAGCCACTAAATATATATGTAGACCTAGGACTTAACACATATATTTAGATCATTCCTTGTTGTTTTATCCACTGCCGAGCCAAACAAGTGCCACTAAATATATAGACCTAGAACTTAATGCATATATTGATTATTCCTCACTGTTTTATCCACTGCTGAGGCAAACAAGCCACTAAATATACAGACCTAGAACTTAATGCATATATCGATTATTCCTGACTGTTTTATCCACTGCCGAGCCAAACAAGCCACTAAATATATAGACCTAGGACTTAATGCATAATTTATATAGATTATTCCTTGTTCTTTTGTCAACTGCCCAGCCAAATGAGCCAAACAAACCACTAAATATATGCACCTTCAAAAGTGGCCCTGTATTGTGTAGTGTCTCTTACTAATGTTTTGTCCAGTAGAAGTTAATAGTTCATTAAAAACACTTTTACAGGTTGCTGTAATTTATTCATCGCTAGTTCAGCTTCACATACAGATTGTTATCTGTCATTCAAACACCAAAGTTGACCAAACAGGCAGTGTGTGCACATGAATGCACTGCTCTGATCTTTGATTACTTCTAGTTTATCAAAATCCTTGTTATGCATGTAAGACAAGGATGTTACCTGCTGTTAGGGGTAAATCAGTTGCTTATGTCCTGGAGTAGAAGTAAGTATGGTGTGATTTGACTAGAACTTCCTTAGTAGAGCTATTGAGCCATGCAAGGAGAATGCATGCGCCAAGGATTGAAATTGTATCTGGAAAACAGTCAAATCAAAAACAGAGGTCTATTACAAGCGAATCTTTAATTATGCTTAAAATCTTGTTAACCATTTACTTAAGGCGCAAAATTATGCTCTGAAGTCTGATTAGTTTTTGCAGTTAACATCTGAGTAGCTGGAACCACTAAAATAGACTGCGCATGTGATACCTTTGACTAATTGCTTTTTAAAACACATTACAACCAAGAAACCTTTTGCTTGAGTATGACTTGTTGATGTTCACCAAAACTTTATCAAAGTGTTTCATAGTTATGTAATTGTTATCTTTTTATGTGAACAGGAGTTGTGTGGAGCTGTACCCATTTGAACTTGTAGTATTAGTCAAGTGTTAAAAGCTGAGGTAAGTACCGGTATCAAAAAAGTGCTAAGTGGCTAGCAGCTTGCCACAATGGGCGACAAAAGTGATTGAGACACTTTTAGAAAATGACACTGTGATATTTAACCCATCATTCTCTTTCATATGGATCTAACGGTAATTATGTAATTCTCCTATACCCCCAGTCCCCCAAATCTTCAGTAAATGTGTTTTAAAGCTGCTAAGGTCTATGCAGTCTTACATGCAGAAATAGAAAATCAACATGGTTTTGGGAGGATGGGAGCAAAATGGATTCCAAGATGCTCGGAAATAGAATTTTACTGCGAAGTGTCTCAACACTTTTGCCACATATTGTGTCTTGCATTCCAATTGTACTACTAGTAAAGGTGTAGTGGAGGTTTTGTTTGATTGAAAGGTACGTTCAACTATATTTATTTAATGTTTAAATAAATAAATGTATTTGAAAAACTGACTTTTGCCTATTTTGGTTTGTTCTTGTCATTCCCTCTGAGAGAGATGTTTGAGATTAAACCAGGCTATGAATTTCTGATAGACTGATGATGTAGCTCTAAATTATGTCTGGATTGAGTAACAACCAGTCAAGCTCTACACTAATCTATATACTGTAGGAGTTAGGTGATTAGTATGGAATTCCTTGGGTTGAATCTTGTGGGGGATGAATTGAGCTTAAGGTCATTCCCCAGTATTGCATTGCGCATCCCTACTGCGCATAATTTCATGCGTGATTAGCACGCATGCATTAAAAAATGGCAGCTTTTTCTTTACAGCTGGACCTCGCCATAGAGGTAAATCGTCATTTTCTCACAAACTAGTGTGGCAACCTATCATTTTTTCCTGTTGTTTTGAATTGAGTAATAAATTTCTCTGCGTAAAGTAAATATGGACCAATTCTCAGTGTAGAACAAAAAGCAATCGTC